CGTGGACGACATCCATCAGGAACAGCAAAGTAAAGAGTGCACAGAAGATCATGATGGTTCCTCACTGCGTCCAAGTCCGACTGAGAAATGGGCTTTTCCTTGGGATATCTTCCATCGTGATTCGGTAGTAGTCGCCAAGCGAAATTTCGGATCTGTTTCTTGTCACAGGACAAGGGCAAGAATCGCAGCCCGGTTGCCAGAATTTTCAAAAAGATATGATAGGATGGGTCGCCTGGTTGGACGTCAAAGGAAGGGCTGCGGTCGAGTTCATCAAGAAAAGAAGGAGACTTGTAGCTCTCCTCGAGCTTCAGATCGTAGAGATGCCTTTTCGCAAAGAAGTCATACAGGAGTTGCATTATCGGCCTGCAATCTCGCCAGCCCCAACCATTGATCAGATGGTAGCATCTTCGGAAAAGGGCTCTGCAGTAATTGTTGCATGAGATTGGTTGCGTTTCAGCGTTGGTGTCGTAGTTATCGAGAACAGGTGAGAGCAATCGTTTCACCATCAACCAGTTGTCATGGGCTTCCCGGAAGCGTGCTCCAATCCTGACCAAACCACTGGAATCAAATTCGTTGAGCGGCAACGTGGTGAATAAGCTTTGCCATCCATCCTCGAAACCATCGATATCGCTTGAGTTACTCAAATTCCCTCTAGCTGACAAGTAGGCTTCAGCAATCAGCTCCCCAAAGCACCCTTTGAGTTCATCCATGGACTGCAAAACATGTCGCACGATCACATAAGCCTCGATGACGGATTGGTCCGCCTGAATGCCCGCTTCACGCTTTGTAGGATATTTGCTGTCTTCAAGGAACCTGCGCATCTGTATCTGCGCCTTTCGACTTGCAATGAACCCCAGAACCCGTCTGGCAGCAAACTTGACCATATCTGAGATCTCATGGACAAGCTTCCCATCAACAAGAGCATGACAGGCTACCTGAAACGCTTGGTTCGCGAACACCAGATTGTAGGACGCAGCTTGAGTGAGATAATCCCTCTGACGCTCATCACTCAACACCATCACCGAAAGTTGCTCGTTCAGCTTTGCAATGAGGCTCCGGGTTCGTTTGACAAATCCCATCCTATCAATCGGATCCTCAAAAGACAGGTGTTCCGTGACGTACTGGACCAAGGACCTGTACAATGCACAAGCGTCGTGGGAGGCCGTTCCTTGATCAACGCTTGCTGCAGTCTCAGAGGCGGCCTTCTCTATCTCTTCAGTCATAACGTCAAAGACTTGGCCGAGTTCAGAAGAGACCGTGTCGTTCCAAGGACCCCACCGGAAACACTGGTCTCTCAATTTGATGCGAGACAGGCCAGATTTCACATCCATATTCCGCGATTCGACCTTAAGAGAGCGCGAGAACTGGCCACTCCCTATAAATGTAGATTCATGGAAGAATGTGCCAGCACAAAGAGGTGTGATGTCGAAGTCAACGGTGTAGGTGCGCCGAAAAGACTTTAGTCCGTTGCCAGTGCTGATTGTAGAACGCGAGTTTCCCAGAACAACACCGTCTGCCGGCATAATAGCGACGGAAGCTCGAGTGTCAAGTCCCTGACTATCAAGCGCACCAAGGTCCAGTCGTCGTGGCGGTCGTTTCTTCAACTGACGTCGCCTATTATGACTTGGAGGTGTAGGCGACGCATCAGTGGCGGCGTTCGGGATCTCGTCAGAAACATCTGATTGGACCTTGGTAGGGAGAGAGGGTGTGAGACTGTTTGCAAGGTAACGATGAAGTGGTAAACTCCGGTGTGTCGGGGGTTTGTGTCGGTAGTCTCGATTCAGCAGTGCAAGGGTTTTCTGGAAGAGTGACGGTGAAGCAGAGTTTCTGCCAGAGTCTGCTATTTCGGGTTCTGCTGGGCGTGGGCCGTCCCTCTTCAGAGATGAAACGGCAAAGTTTCGACGGATGACCCATTTCCTACCTTGCTGCCCAGACGCAGGCGTCGGACGCGACGAAATGTCCATTTCTGTGGCCGGTGCGATAGCTGGGACATCTGGAGGCGTCTCATCAAGAGCATCGTCGGTCATATCAACTTGAGCCGTCCTCTTAGGATCTGACAAGAACCCTCTCTCCTTCGAGTGGGGACTATGATTGGTGACGACGCCTGACTGATTGACAGGGCGGTCCAACAATGGCTGTCGCGCATAAAGCTTGGTCTGTATTTGTGGCAATTGCGTCTGCCGAAGCTTTCCTTTCCGCCACTCGCCCAATGCCTTGTTGGCATCCTCCGTGTCCAGTCGCGATCCCAGCTTGATGAACTTGCGGGATGGGCTTCTCCTGCCCATATCTTTGCGGGAACGTGCTCCCCGCGCGGCCACCCTCAAGAATTGAGGTTGTTCATTTCGAGGCCGATGAGCAACGTCTGGAGCGTCTAAAATGCCTAGTCTAGGGAGTCGGCGGGGCGCAGCCCTCTCCTTTCGGTTTCGGGCTCCATATTCTGGATCGGTAATTCTTGTCTGTCGCTTCAACCGTGGTCTTTTGGTGTGACTATGCGAGTGTGAGCCACCTGTTTCCGTCCTCTGGCGTTTCTCGCTCGGCTTTCGACTTCGTGGGCCTGTCGGTCCCCGAGGTATTGGCGGGAACATGTAGTCTATATGATCATACTCAGGGATGTCGTCTCCGGCAATATCGTCGTCAATTGGCAAGTCGAGCTCAAATAACTCAGCTAGCTTTTTGTGGGCGTCGGCAGGCATGTCCCCCTCTGCTCCGGTACTTTCACCACTGTCATCATCCGCAAGATGACTTAACGAGGCCAATGGCTCCCTAGCAGTTGAAACCATCCTCGAATCATTCTTTTTCGTGATCTTCCTGGCAACACCCTTAGCGTTTTCTGTTCGATGGGATGCCAGTCTATCACGCTGTCGCTGCGTGGAAGGGAGATTTCCCTGTTTCTGGTTCTTTTGGTCCAGTCGCAGCCAAGATGCCGGCAGTACGCCTTTGATCTTGCGTTGTAGAGCCCTCACTGCGACTTGCTCATCATCTTCTTCAGGTGCACCCTCATCCACGTCGGAGTTCGGTTGGCTCTGGTTAGTGGCTCCTCCATCCACCGACACCTGTTCGTCAGGGCCGGCCAACCAGTCCGTCATGTCAGAATCTAGAGTATTTCGTCCATTGACTCGAGGCTCCGTAACCGGCGTAGTTAAGGTCGGCGGCGTGAATCCAAGTGGGAAACGGAATCCCTCTGCCTGCTGACTGGTTTGCGTTGAGGAGATGCTGCCTGAGCGTGGAGGACTTGGTATGTTGTAGATAGAGTTATTTTCAGGGCGTGCAGGAGATTGGCAGATGACCACCTTCGGCCGGGCCGCATTTCTCAGAGAGCGTCGTTCAGCGTCTTCAGGTCGGGATACCCTGCGCCGTTTTGAAGGACGAGCATCTGGTCCGTTCGCTAAATGGCCTTGGAGTTGTGGGTCTGCTAAAAGACCTCGCCGATGTAGAGAATCCTTGTGAACGTGTCTATCAGGCAGCGGTTGATCCATTGTTGGAGATGATGGCGGAAACTGAAAGTCTTCAACGGGACTGCTTGAAGGAGGCTCGAAGTCCTTGCTTTGACTTTCGTCGGCTGTATCATGTACAGCTTGATGCAGAGGTACCCGTACGGGTTTCAGGCCTCTGGCTTTCATGAGACTCCGGTACTTCGCATCTTCGAGCAGGTATGGGTGTAATTGGATAGGATTCCGCTGTCTCAATGACCTGCGCATGGGTTGTGACATCTCCTGTAGTATATGGTCCGGAATCTCAAAAGGCAACAGTGGCTCGTCTCGATTCTGGGGAGCTTGGGATTCTGTGATTTCTGTCCCCTTCTGCCCCTCTTGTCTATCCCGTAAACTATCATCGTCTTCACCAATACGTATCGAATGAAGGGATGAGAGAGGGGAAGAAAGAGGGGAGATATTGTCATTCTCGTTCAGTAGCTGCGTCCCAGCTTCATCGATAGTCGGCGAGTTCTTCTGGGTTTCGGAGTCCTTCCTCTTTGAAAAGTAAGTGATCCGTCTCCGGGATGGCTGCAAATCGAACTGTAACTCGTCTGGGGAACTGGGAATGTCCCATATGCCGGCCTGCGGTTGGGTGCGAGGCGTTGACGGAGTGCTGGGATTCGTGGCGGTCACACCACTTGAACTCGACGAAGAGTCTGCCACCTTTCTCGTCGCAGGTGCATTCTGACTTGCCGGATTTTTCTGGTTTCCTTGAACAGAGCCAGAATCACCTTTAGATGTCTCCTTCCTTACGTCCACCATCGTAGAGTCCTCCTCTGCCTTATCAACCGCAGGCGTCCTTTCTCCAATATCCTTTGAGCCCAATACCACATTCTGAACACTGTCGGTACCATCGTCACCAGGCCCATCCGAATCTCCCTCGTTCGCCTCATCGTGTGCCGCCGGCACAGTGAGCTTCGCAGTGGGCGCAACAACCTCTCCAGTCCCTCCATCAACATCCTCAAACCTCCCATTCACCACCTTTGACTCCTGACTGTCAAAGTCAACTTCCGAGTCCGAGTCCGGTACAAATCCTCGTTCCCGCCATGATTCCATTTGTGACCCTGGCGCTGCGTGCCCATTTCCCTATTTGTCCATGCTTCGTCTGCGGCTGTGAGATTTGTCGTCCAAATTAATCGCGACCGATACAGATAATTAAATGCGTAAGGGTCAAGACCAAGCGTCTGTGTCGAATTGGTGATTTCAGGTCGAACAAATTGTTCGTTGATTAGACGCGTCGAAAATGCGTGGAGACGCGTTGTTCCCAAAAGGCGGAAATCGTAAGTGGATTAATGGTATGGAGCAGTTCCGCAGTGGGAGCCTAGGAGCCTGGAACCGCTGGCCGTTATAAGTCCCAATTAAACTAGGCCTAAGTCGATCTGCCTGCCCGCGCTGCACGTTTCTTGTGTCGGAGTTTCTACGGATATAAATGATCGGTCATTGGTCATAATTTGATGATCTTATTCTGACTACGATAATCGAGGCCGTTCGATCTACCTGGAGCAGCTTACACCATCACCATCAAACATGAGTCGCAACTTCATCCCCGCGGCATTGGCCATCGGCGTGGGCATATTGACCGGTATGACCCTGCAACCCTTCGAGTTGCTGAACCCACAAACTTACGATTGGATTTCCCTCCCAGGCTACTATACCTTCCAACCCGCACTCCAAGAACTACAAATCGAGAAACGCAAGCCTCTATCGTATGTCTCGCTTCCAGACTCTGCGACGAGTCGCCGCGCATTGCATTTAGAAATGAGTTAGCCGTATGCTGATGGACATACGCAGGACCAGTGGACAGGCAGAGCAATCGAGGAATAGTCAAGTGAAGCCTCAGACTGCTACGTCAAGCTCGGAGACCAAGCCGTCGGACCAGCAGAGGTAACGCTGATCGAGAGGCCGGATAAAGGCGGAATTGAAGATAGAAGGTTTTCGCAGGCGCAGGGACTTCCAACACTGAATCCACAGTGCTGAGGCATGCGGGGGCAACATGGTGCAAGTCATCTCTGCCTGGAGATAGAACTTCAGAGTGCGATCTTGAGGGACCTAGCTGCGCCATCGCGGGACCAGACAGCCACCTATACGATGGCGTAGAGCTCACCGTCAACTGGTATCGACGGGTTTGCGTTCAAGCTTGAGGGCTCAACCAATCGCCACGGATGGCAGTCGCTAATGCTTCCCATCTGAGAAGTATGCTTCGTCCACCGACACATGGGCAGGTGATCCATTGTGGTATATAACTAGTATCTGACTGTGCTGTATAAAGATCGTTCAAGCCATATATGCAAATGTATATTAGCGCATTCCTACGCTCTTTTCTCTATCTGAAAGACCAATCGAATAGGGTATGACACACTTGAGAGAAGAGGGTAAAATACATGAACGACACCAGCTTACGAATCATTAGCCCGTCCCAGTTCCGATATAGTAGACAATATAAATGCCGCCTAAAACGCCCCGCTCCATTTCCCTGCCCTGTCATACCGAAAATCAAACCTCCTCCACAAGCTTCGATGGCCGGTTAGGAGCTTCCCCAAAGACGCGCCCCGCAGGAGTTCCGAGCCATTCTTCAGGCACACCGATACGACTGCCCTCGCGGCCACTGACCCATCTGACCATCGTTGGCTGTGGTTTCTCTGCCTCTTCTGCCTCTGCCTCGGCGGCGTTGGCTTCCGCTTCAGCAACTGGGATTCGACCACGCCGTTTTGGAGCCTGCTTGCGTAACAACCTATTGATCGTGTCCATCTGCGCTTATGCGTTAGCGATGTGACGCAGCGAGCAGCTAGCGGAACTTCGAGACCGGAAAGGGCTGTTTCACCGGCCCAACTTACCTTTTCTTCCTCGTTCCGCTTCTCGCTGAGATTCTTTCTTCTTCGAGCCATTTCAGCACGACGCATAGCACGTTCTTCTGCCGTTAGGTGCTTCTTCACTTGAGGTTCTGGTATTCGGTCAGCAGCGACACTTCACTCGAAACAGTCACAGAAGGGAAACTCACCCATGGGAAGCTGCAAAAAGTCATTGCCCAGGGTTCCTCTCTGCCGCTTGGTTAACCGGCTAAGGTCGCCTCCGGGTGTGACTTCTTCACTATCATCGTCCTCCTCGTCTTCTTCATCCTCTTCATCCAGGTCCTCGTCTCCTCCATTTCCATTGCCAAGCCCACTCTCGTCCTGGTCATCAGGCTCACCCTCGGCATCCGTATCCAGCTCCGATAGCTCCTCATCATCTTCGTCGTCTTCCTCCTCCAATTCCATCTCCTTCTCCTCCACGCTCTTCACAGCCTTTCCTGTTGATGTGGCAGCACCCTTGGCATGTCTTTTTGAAGTTGGTGGTCGGGGCGGCGCATCGTCCAATTCCAAATCGCCATCCGCATCGACGTCCTCCTCACCAGGTGCATCCTCGTCGACTTCATCCTCCTCTTGGTCTTCTAAGTCATCCCCCTCGCTTGTGCTAACCTCTACGAGCCTCTTCTTGGGCCGGCTAGACCGCGGTCCCGTGATGATGGGATTTTCAGTGAAGACATTGTGGGAGCGTCTGGTTGAAGTGCTACCCCGTGCGCTAGCCCCAGTAGCTTCGCGAAGCTTGCTCGAAGGCATCCTTACAGTCAGAAAAAGAGATCTGATGGGGTTCTCTGCGCTGCCTGAAACAGACCGAGTGACTGTTACTAGTGGGGCAGATGGGACACCACGTGTCGATCTGGTAGGCCTTGGACTCATGTCAGAATCAATGCTTGATGGATCATCCCGCACTGGACGAGAGCGAAGCGAGCGACGTATAGACATAGTCAAGGAAAACAGGGGAGACTTGTCTGAAATTATGTGATGGGAAGACAGGAATGAGGGGTAGGAGGATGTTGAAGAGAAGATCGTTTTAGTGACAAATCCAGCGATGCGATGCGATTTAAGCAACAACTGAAGACAGTTTAAGGGAGTTGATGGGAAGAAGCGCGCAGGGTGAATGCGTCGACGATGCCCGACTATGAAGATTCTAGCAGGTGAAGCGGGGATGCGAGTGAATGGGAGGTAATATCCACAAGTCGGCGGATGAGCTCAAGATGATGGTCATCGAGCAAACATCCATTCATAGGATGATGGATACGTGGGCCATTGTAGATAGACGTGTGTAGGTAGGCCATGCATTCCGGGTAGACGCAGGCAAGCTACGCCTATCACACATTTGACGCCAGTTAAAAGTCGCAACCCGGCATCAAGGATGGGGACCAATTAGGGCGTTGCAATCTTGGATGGGATGGAGGACGCCCGTGCCAAAGCGACAAGCGACTAAGACAACGAACCCATCGCAGACGCGGTGAATTTCAACGCTTGTGCGTTCGCTTCTCTCCGCCACACCAACGTACCAGGGGTGTATAATCCTTGTAGTGACCGTGGCAAGGCTACCCCAAAGACTGAAACAATCAAGAATCGCAAAACACACCAATGACAAGTCACGGGCTATGGTGCAGATGGACAGGAAAAAGAGCAATACGAGAGGACGGATACTCACTCGACCAGAGGGAACTAATAGATGGTTCGTTGATAGAGCGATGGGGAAGGGTCCGAGATGACCTTGACGACAATCCCAGTGTATATCTCAGGAATATATATGGGGGTCGGACAAAGAGCACTTGTCAGTGGTGAAAGACTGAAAGATAGATAATTATGCTCTTTAGAAGTGCAGTACTTCTTAATGGATGATATCGGGAGGGCTCTGTATGTCCATTCTTGTCCGCCGGTCTTTGATTTATTCCTCATCCTCATTATTCTGCCGCTCAGCGGTCTGTGTTCTTGGCGTACATCTATGCGATAACTCTCTAACCAGAATATCTACTTGGAATTAATTCTGGAATCAAATACTAGAGGCTTCTCTGAATGCTCTCAGACCAAGAATGCATAAGGATGATATTGTCTGGATATCATTTATACCAGTATATCGACGTGAAGATTCCAAGAATAATGCACCTCTAGATGATCAGGTGATCTGTACGCTGTATATTACATTACATTACCATACAGCCGAGGTCTGGGGAAATCGACCCCAAAGAATTGGCCGACGTCTCCATCGCTCACATGGAGTTCGATGTCCATCTCTCCTTATCTCCTCCGTCACTTCACTCTCTCCTTGAAATATCTGTCCCTCTCTCTCGTGGAGCGCAACATGTCCGACATCAAGCCCAAATCCCCTTCAATCCCTCAATGGCAGCAACCTGCCGCTGCCAGCACAAACACCGACAACTCCACCTCCACACCATCGCCGAGCTCCGATGACACTCCCCGTTCAGACCTCATAGAGCAAGCCAGGAAGTTCTTGCAGGATGACTCCATACGCGATGCGCCCATTGATCGCAAGATAGCTTTTTTAGAGTCCAAGGGCCTTCGAAACGAGGAAATAGACAGTCTCCTGGCCATCTCGCGTGATGCGGACCAAAGCAGCAGCAGCAGCGCCGAGGGAAACAAGTCTACCCCGGATTCTTCCACATCACCCACCAGCAACGAGTCGCAAAGTCCCAAAAAAACATCTTCTTCATCACCAACATCCTCAACATCTTCATCTACCACACCCGCTGCTCCAACCGCCTCCAAGGACTCCGCGCCACGAGATGTCCCACCCATCATCACCTACCCCGAATTCCTCATTCAGCAATCCAAACCCCCGCCACTGGTAACCCTCCGCAGCATTCTCTACACCCTCTACGGCGCCGCCGGCCTAGGGGCAAGCCTCTACGGCGCAAGCGAATACCTCGTCAAACCAATGCTCGCCACCCTCACCAGCGCCCGCCACGAACTCGCCCAAACCGCCAACACCAACCTCCAAAAGCTCAATGAGAAACTCGAACAGAACGTCTCTCGGATCCCACCCCATCCCTCCGCAAAAGACACAAAACAGACCGAGCCCGCCGACTCCGAAGATGACGAGGACTCCGTCACCTCCGACCCAACAGAGCTCTTCCACCGGGACGTCGCAACCCAGACCTCTCAGGATCTGGACGCAAGCACCCTCCCACACAAAGCAGACCAGCACGCGGCCGACGAGCCAACCCCCGACCCCACCGCAACAGTGAACACGCACCTCAAGCGGCTCGAGAACATCACCTCGCATCTCCGCGAAGTCGCTTCCACGGAGAAAGAATCAGGTACGCTGGACGACTCGGTGCGTACTCGGTTGAACGAACTCCACCATTACCTCGATGGCTTGCTCTACAGCAGGTCCAGCTATAGCTCTGTCACGGCGTATGGGGTATACAGCACGCCTGGCCTGGAGACCACATCCGGTCCCTCGGCGGGCATCAGTAAAGCCGAGGAGGACGCGATGGCCAGCTTCCGCGCTGACATTCGAGGTGTCAAGGGCGCCTTGCTGAGTGCGAGGAACTTCCCCGCCAGCAGGGGAAGGGCTGGCTCCGGAATTCTGTCGGGAAGGTGAAGGTCGACGTATATATATAGTTTAGGAGAGAATGAGCATTCTTGAACTCTGAATATGAATGCTGTTATTCTGTAGTGATATTTCCCATCAATCCAAGCAAAAATAGGCACTCATTTGCATGCTGCGTGGCAGTGTACATCTATCTCTAAACTCTAGCATTGTTAATTCAAGTTTGTTGAAAAGAGTGTTCTCCGTTGAGAGCAATCTTCTAACTGAATGTCAAAGTCTAAGTCATTTTCCTTTCCTCTTCGTGCTCTCTTGAACTATAGTAATACCGCGGATAAGAAACAAGCAGAAATATCACAGTAACATAGACGTGTGAAGAAGATATCCTGACCAAAACCAGGCTAGCGCGGAAAAACCACAACTAGCTAGGTGAGACGGCGACAACGCCAACCACTATACAAACAACTCATAACCATATTGCATGCGACGTCCCCAGTAGTTAACTCATCAAGGCGTGGCCCGGCTCATGCTAATCAGACGCTTGACACCAACCTAGTCCCCCAAAGTTAGCAATAGTCAACCTGAGCAGGTTGGATCAGAAATCGACATACCATCCAATTACCGCATTCCTCTGTCCTGTTCGTCATGATATCAATGTGGATAGTCTTGGCCGTCTCGTAGTCGCGTGCCTGAATAGCCCGAGCAAGCTCCGCCATGTCGGCGACAGTGTTAGGCTTGAGCAGATCCTCATTATTCAGATGGTCAAACAGAATATTCAACCGGCGTTCCGCGTCTTCAACCTGCGCTTTGAAGGAGGACGGCGCTCGAGACTTCACGCGCTGCATGTCGGCGGAGAGGATCTCGTAAATAGGCATGGCGTCTGCGGGGATATGGGAGCGGTCGCCGGGTGCTTATCAAAGTCAGAACTACGAAATGAAAAGCAAAGAAGTAAAAATGACTTACGGTACTTGGGGGGAGCGGGAGCAGCCTTCCGTTGCGACGAAGCGGTGCTTGGCCTCGAGGATGGAGCCTGGGGCGGTGGCGCTTGCTGCATCGGCAGTTGACTCGGTGGTGGCGTGCTAGGAGCATAAGGATTTGCTGGGGGAGGATGCGACGCTAGCTGTGAGGCATAGGGCGAAGCAGCTGCCTGGGGCGGAGGAGGAACAGGCGCTCTGGTGGAGAGTTGCGGGCTTGCTGCTTGAGCCGCCGGGCTAGGTGCATACCTGTTCGACGGTGGTGGCATCGAGGGCGGGGCGTTGTACGGAGAGGGCCCGCGAGGAATTGACGCGGGGGGAGGAACTCCCATGCTTGAGCCCATTGGAGGGGACTGGGGCAAGGAAGCGTAGGGGTTGGCCGCGGGTGAAGGGCCAGGTAGGTTAGTAGGCGGCGAGGTCACTCGGGGAGGAGGAGCCATGCCCTTCGGTGGAGGAGGGACAGAAGGGGCACGCTGAGTAGGCGGGGCTCCAGGCGGTGGAGGACCCTGAGAAAGGGTTGGAGACTGGTTGGGGAAAGGCGAGCTGATAGGTGCCGCGGCAGCGGCGGGTGTTCCCCTACGGGAGGTCGGAGGTTTTGTGAAGCCCTCCGGCAAGTCGTTCCAAGCTGGCAGATTGGTCGCTGTGGTGTAGGTGGTCACAGTGGCAGGAGATTGGTTGGAAGCGCGAGGAGGTGGTGGAACGGAGCCACCAAGCGGCTGAGCACCGTAAGTTGGCGGCTGCAGAGGTTGATATCCTGCAGGAGTATAACCTCCACCGCCAATTGGTGCATATGATTTGCTTGTCTGCGGCTGGGTGGCAGCTGCGGTGGAAGGAGCATAAGGGTTTGCGGGCTGCGTTGTAGCTGCGGTTGGGGGAGCATAAGGATTCCGAGGAGCAGTAGTTGCAGCTACTGGAGCAGCGGCAGGTGCAGAGAAGGCGGGCTGCGCTGGATACATGCTGGCTTGAGGCAAGGGCTTGTTGACTGGAGTCCTGGTGGTGGGAACAGTTGGCTGTGAGCGCTGAGGTGCAGCGTGTCTCATTGCCAGCTTGATACGGTTCCTAGCGATCTCGGCTTCAGGGTGCTTCTCAGGGACAAGATCGAGGTATTTCTGCGCAACTTGCAGACGTCCGTGAGTGGCCACGACATCGGCGTACTCGATATACTTGTCGTAAAGCATGCTGAGTTTCCAGTCGGCATCCTTGGTACGTTCCGTGTCTTGGAATTTGGTAACCTGGCGGAAGATGGTGACCTTTTCAATCAGACTCTGCAGAGCACGAACGTGGATTGAGAAGGAAGTATCGTCTGCAGCCGTCTCAATGCTCTTCTGCTCGTTCTCGCGAAGCTCCTCGATCCAGATGGCAACAACCTTCTCGAGTTTCGATCCTGCTAGGAAGCAGAAAGAGGCATCCTTGCGTAGGCTCTTGTCTTCGGTGTTTCGAATCTGCTCTTCCAGGCGGTCACCAAGGGCCTCGCAGAGATCGGCAAATTCATTGTCATCGGCAAATGTGCACAGCGCAGCCATGACTTCCTTCCAGTTAGACAGGTCGGCATTGTGCACGACATCCCAGAGATTTTTGCCAACAATAGATGCAAGCAAGCGGATGTAGTTCGGCCCATCGGTCTGCTTCGAAAAGTAATGCTCCTGCGCCTTCTCGATGCACTTCTGGCCTCCACAGATTGCGATCATGAACGCGTCTGACATGCGGTCTTCTTTCAGAGCCACATCGAGTGCCTTTTCAAAGTTGCCTAGAAGCAAAGCGCGAGTAATGCCCTTGTCCGCCTCGGTCTCAGAGCCATTGAAGATCCGGAAAGGGTTGTTGGTCTTGGCTCCCTTCGATGCAGCTAAATCGGACAGGAAGTTGTCAGCTTCAGGGTTCGCGTCAAACATCGACTGCAGGCGCTTGTGCTTCTTGGCTCCCGACCCGCGGGATTCCTTGGCCGACTCCCCGTTCACCTCATCATTCTCCTTATCCAGACCAAGCTGGGCCAGTTTATCAGCAGTCTCGTCGGCTTGATCCTGGAATCCCAGATACTCGATCAAACCCTTGCGAGGGTTTTCTGAAATCAAGGCTTCAATGACCTTCCAGTCAGCCTTCTCCTCGTCACTTGCGGCCTGGGAAGCTCTGGTTTCGCAGATGCTCCGAAGGTCACCCTCCTTGAGTGCATTCTCAAACGTCTCCGTAGATTTTGCGACAGCCTCGTCAACCTCGAACGGAGCGATCTTGATCTTCGATGCGCGCTTGCCCTTCTCGATCAGGCCGACCGAAATCACTCTGCCACCAAAGCCGAAAGACGCGCCACAAGGTCTCTCAAGCCACTTGGGGGCCTTCGGGAGCGAGAAATTCGATACCTGGGGCTGCGTCTGTGCCTTCGCGAAGAAATCTGCGCCATCGAGCGCTTGGTTCTGGTCAGCGATAGCCCGAGCGGTGTCAGTACGAGTGTTCTGAAGTGTCTGTATCGAAATTCTCCCATCGAACGAAGCCGTGGCAAAGAAGTTTGGATTGTGTGGATTCCAGCGAGTCTGGAAAGTCCAATTCGTAACGACAGGGAATTCTCCGTAAGCTTGTCCCGTCTGAGGGTTCCAGCAGAGAGTGCGGTTGTCCTTGCCGGAGGAGAGAAGTAGGTCGGGGTCCTGAGGGCACCAGGAAAGCGATAGCACGCCTGATTCGTGTCCTTTAAGGGTCTAGAGGGTATTAATCATCGTGCTATTATTGCCTGCGGAGGGGTAGGATAGCTCACCCTTTCTGGGGCGTGCGAATTGCGGAGATCCCAAACGTAGATAAGAGGATCGGACTCCAGTGGTGTTGAAGTAATGAGTTTCGTGGGCTGTCCAAAGTCAGAGATAAGATCAGCTGCGGTTGATTTTGTTTAGTCCCACCTTCTCAGGATCCCACGCCACTGCGCTAACAGCTTTCCGGCCCATGTTGTTCAGGGTCAAGCTCTCCTTCTTCGTCTTCACATCCCAGACAGTGACGAAACCTGCACTGCTACCCGTGACCAGGATGTGTGCGACCTTCTTGTTCCAGTCCAAGCATTCGATATCGTCGGCGCGGGCAGCGGCGCTTCCGAGCCGGTACGGGTTTGCGATGTTGTTGAGATCGGAGATGTAGAGCTGCAGCAGTGAGCCTTACCATAACATGAGCAATAAGTCGGTTTAAACAATTACCTCTCCCTTTGCGCCACCAGTAGCTAACAAATTCGAGTGCTTGGGGTTGAACTGCAACGCCTTGATAGCCCCTGAATGATTGGTCATTCTCGAAATGACAGCGTCACTGCTTGTACACCGTCAGCCGATCCATGATAGCCTGGGAGTTCTGTCTGCGGACGAACCTGGAACCGTTGATTAACTTGTCGGCATCCCATAGATCCAAGGATCCGTTCTCCAGAGCACCAGCGATCACCCCTCTTGAGTTGTCCTCGGAATCTGTCCATGCCAGGTCGTTAAATCTACAAACAATAACAGTCAGTCTTTCTGTGCAATGAAGGGCCAAAATTAAGCAATAGAAGGATCATACCCTGAATCAGTGCCAATCTTGGCAATGGGCTGCAGCTCCTGACTGGCATCTTGGCTGCTCAATCCAAGGTCCCAGAGCTCAAGACATGTTTCATTCGAGAAATCGACATCGACGGCGCCGGCCCGAGTTCCGGTAGCAATCAATGGCGATGCTGCACCGGGGGACCAGGCGAAGGTGGCGGTCCGGGGGATCTCCCTCAGACGCACCATGCTGGAAAGTGCGGGATGACAGGTAGGTATAGATTAGGGGAGGATCAGACTCAGAGCCGTCTGGCGATGATAATCATTAAACGAGAAAAGAAAAAGATGGGGAGAAAGAAATTGAGGGAAAGGCAAGCTCACAGAAGCAAAAATTCCCTCCTTAATCAGTAAAGGGAAAGGAGCTTATAGGTTAAGAGGTAATCGAGACCTGAACGATCCGATGCCTTGGGCTCAAGCAACCAAGTGTCCTTCTGGAGGGGGACTGGGGGAGTGACGCTAAGCTCCATCGGGACCTCGCCAAAACATCCGCGGATTCACGTGACATCATTCATTCCGCTGAGGGTCCAGGCAAAGAAATCTACTTGGGGACGGCGGTGCAGATATCAACCAGGTGATCGTGACGCAAGGCCTGCTCGCTCGTTTTCAGACAGTTCTCATATGGCTCAATAATCACTTTCATCAATACTTCTCATCGGCTGCACAATGAGCGAAAAGGCTCGCCTAAAATGTACTGTCTATGTGGGGGGTCTCGACCAGGCCGTTACCGTGCAGACACTGGCCGAGGCATTCGTCCCATTTGGCGAAGTCGTTGATATTACGCTACCTAAGCCTGACGTGCCCAACTCAGGCGATCTTCACCGCGGCTTCGGATATGTGGAGTTCGACCTGCCCGAAGACGCTGCAGAAGCGATTGACAATATGGATGGAAGTGAGTTGTATGGTCGTACAATAAAGGTCGCCGCCGCGAAGCCGCAGAAGGAAAGCAACGAGGGGCTGGGAAGCAAGACAGCTATTTGGGAGCAGGTAGGTCCCTTGATCCGATCGTACACGGGCGTGTCGCTAACTACGGATGTACAGGAAGGATATTTGGCCAAATACGCGGTCAGTGAGGAGGATAAGATGGCAGCAGCGGAGGCCAGAGCAGTTAGCGAAGGTGCTCCTGATCCCATGCAGGGATTAGAGGAGCTGGATGTCGCTGGCCCAAAGCCAGAATGAGTTTTTTAACATGATACCCCGCGAATTTGAAATGCACAAGGAAGCCAGACAACAGTAAAGGTTGCGATACTACTCCAACAGACTCCCCCTTGGGTCAAAGCCGTACTATATACACGCGCTTTCGACGCTCAAACAATCGACTTCAATTTTTCCTCTGCTGCGACAAACCACGTCTGTGAATAATACAGGTCCTCAACAAACGGACAGACAGAACGAAATGTCCATTGCAATCAATTAAATGTGCTGGTACATGCTTAGTGTTCGCGGTCCTCGGGCTTATTGCGGTAGAGGCGCAGAGTCTTGTCGGTCATGAGCTTGCGGGTGCTAGAGTAGATAGCAGCTCCGACGGCAACACTGTAACAATTGCGTCAGCGGGGGATGATCGGGCTGACAGGAGGGAAATCCATGTCTCTTGTAGATAGAAACAGCGCAGTGTCAACCTACCCAAGGACAATACCTATTCGAATCGCAATAGTGGTTAGATGAGTGCAATAAAGCGATCAACTCCAGACTAGCAACGTACCGAGGGGAATCAGTTCCGGAGGAACTCTCTTCAGGGTCCGCAGACGCTGAGAGATGGTGTGAGCTATCGATCAATTAGTACAATCACAGTTCGTCCAATATAGCAATTGCTGCTTCAATTGCGTCTCGTGAGGCGTGTCATACCGCTCTGGTTCTCCTTCTGCAGACGACAATTAGCATCCGTGGTCTGCCAAGCCTTTTTTTCTAACCTAGTCGCAATAAACTGGAGACTTACGGGAGTAGGGAAAGCAAAAGGCCGAGAGGCCTGCATCCTCAGAACACGGGTAGGGTACATGGCGATGGCGGAGAGCGATGCCTGGTGGAAAGAGTAGTGGTGGTGGTGGTGGGATGAGAAGACCGGATGTGGTGACGGAAGCTCAGGACGGGACGTTTCGAAGGGCTGGGTCGGGTGTTTAGGAAATCTTGCCGCATGAGTGGCTCGCTAGACCGCCCGCGGTCACTTCCGGCTTCACAGCTTCACGGGATCATTCCACTCCACTGGCGCAAACCTCCCCATCTTCCTTCTCCGAACGACGTTCCTCCCCTCCCACCCTCCACACTTCGTCTCGGTTTTCCATAACCAGTCTAAAAGGTCTCTTCAACTTCACATATTCAAAATGGGTGCCATTCCTGAAGCCGATCCCGATGAGCCCATGGAGACCAAGCCCTTCAAGTTCGTGACAGGTGAGTCCATCCCAAGCTGTCTGCAGGGCCAATGGCCTCGAATTAAGCTCAATTGCTAACTTATTTGCAGCTGGTACGTTTATTCTAGAATATTGATTGTTTCCTCGCCTGTTGTGCCGCTTTGGTCCAGGTTTTCGTCGCTGGTGCTACCTCGTATGATGCTGACCACTTGTGATGCAACGACAGGCTATGACGCTCGCTTCCCCCAGCAGAACCAGTACGTCTTCCGTTCTTGTCTATCAACACTGGCTCTGATACAATGCTAATACCAATTTCAGGACCAAGCACTGCTGGCAGAACTACGTTGACTACTACAAGTGTGTCAACGCCAAGGGCGAGGATTTCCGTCCATGCCGTCAGGTATTAATTCAGTTCCCGGAGTAAAGAAAACCAAGTAGGATTGATGACCTGACTCGTGCATCACAGTTCTACCACGCTTTCCGCTCCCTGTGCCCCAAGGCCTGGACTGACAGATGGGATAACCAACGCGGTGCGTACTTTTCTTTCCTTCTTCGGAGAAATGTGGTCTAACGTATTGCGTATTACAGAGGCTGGAAACTTCCCTGCTCGTCTGGAGTAGATGATTTAGTCCTTGTCGATTAGCTGTTGAATATTTCTGGTGTCAAACATGTACTCTACGCGATCAGACCGGGAATACAAATCCTATTCTTTGCGGGGTCCTTTTCGTCATCGGGAGCCAGAGAAAACGATGTATATAGGCTACCCTAGTCTGAAGAGCCGTTTGTGTGGACGTGGTTATCGTACCTTTCAAAGTAGTATCCGTATATCAATATGTCGCCAGCATCGTGTAGTCTGTACATGAGTTCCCCGCGATGAAGCTGATAATGTAATTCTACTTGTTCTTGACATATATATATCCAGCAGTAAATATTGTTTCCTTACAGTTGCAACCGGCAGGTACAAGTAATGACTTCGGTTATACCTTCGTTATACCTTCTCTCGCATCCCAGATATAGCTGGTCAAAATTTCAAGACAGTGTATGAAGGTATCTCAGTGAGGTGATCCAACACACCGCAACCACTAGTATCGACAGGTAGAAGATACAACAAGCGAAATGACAAGACATGGACATATATATGATTATGTACAGCATTGAACACGACTTTTGCCCTCCCGATATGTTTCGCCAGATGCCATGTACATGAAGTCTATGTAGAAACGAACCCAAAAACAATATGCTGCGAAAAGAAGAAAAAGTCTATACTTTGATGGTGTTGTCCCCCGAAATCCCCTTCAAAGCCCGGTAGAGCTTCTTATGTTCTTCCAAGAAGATAAACGTGGCAATGGTATGAGGACCCAGCCGAATAAAGCTAGGCACCCAGCCGCGGAAGACCCACGCGAAACCCTCCTTGCGGTAGATATCTCGTAACAAGCCCAGGAGGCTGTGGCCCCGGGTTTGCGTCGGTGATGCGGTCATCACACGGGTTTTGATCACGTCGACGGGACTGCAGACGGTTGTCGCCACGAATCCAGCCATAAGGGACGCAGTGAAATGCGTGACGAGGTTATCCGACATTCCGAGCTTCTCGAGACAGAGACGCTTGAAGGAGTCGTAGGAGGCGAGTTGTGAGGCTGTCATCAGCACAGCACGGGTCGCATTCGGCCACACGCCGCGGAAGAGACTCGCCGCGCCCTCCGTGCGAGTCATCTGCACCAATCCGTGGAGTGCATGCTTGTAGTTGCGCCGTTGCGCCGGGGGGAGCGCTGCGTCGTGCTGCATGCGCACGTTCAGAACGTCGGCCGGGTTTCCTGCAAACCCGCCAATGAAGCCCGATGCGCAGGCGATTGCGACCAGGGTGGGAAGTCCGGGTGGTGACGAGGACGAGGTGAAGCGGGATTTGAGCTCTTCGTAGATTCCGAAGCGGGTGGTAGAGTAGGTTATTTGGCGGAGGATGGCCGCAGAGAGCTACAGAAGGGCACAGATGTGAGCGACTTTCTTTCTTTGCGTCTTCCTAACCACGACCCATGCAGATATTGTACATACCCCACTATACAACCCCAGGACTCCATTATGCTTAAGGATATGACCAAATGTTCCAACCATCGACGTAGGCGCTCCTGGCCCACGTGTTTGCAAGCGAACCTGTATTTCATCGGCGCATCGATCAGCGTTGTGTACACAAAACGGAAGGGGACGGGTGAGACGAGCGGTGCGCGCAGACTATAAGGAGGTATACCTTTACTGCAAGTTCAATGTCAGTTAAAGCCCTCAAGAATACATCAAACGAGCCATTGCGAAGGACACTCACCAAGATCCAAAGGATGTGTGACCATTGCAGCAAAGCATGATGCAGAACCGCCAAACCAAAAAGGATAATGCACTTTTTTTACAACAGCCCTCGCGGGCTGCTGAGATTCCTCCAACTTTCCACTTCCAGCCATCTTGATCAACAAGATGTGGACATTCCAGCCATAGACCAAAAAGAAAAAGAAAGAGCGGAGAGTGGTGGTGTCGTATCACCAAGACAGCAGTGTTAATGGCCGCGGTAAGTCGTAATTCTAAGACTATGTCAGCCAGAGGGGGCCTTAGATAAATTCTGAGTCGGCGATAGATCAAGCCTCCGAGCCCTGCGTGCTTCGGCAATGTCAACCGATCCCGGGTCGTCTCAGCCAATCAGAGCCTCGGTTTTGGGGGGTGTCATGCAAGTTCCATGTAATAACCCGTAATATTACTGTATTTCAGTCCGCAAGAAGTTCAAATAACCGATACACAAGGCGATAATCGGTCGATGTCGGTCATACTTTTGTAATTGGAGACTATAGGGACATCTAAGCCTGTCAAGAATATTAGCAAAGGATTAGCTGACCATTTAAGCCGGAGGAATGCCTTGCGCGAATGCAGGGTACTGGTAAAAGCGAGATTATAATCTAGAATCCTCAAATGAGGACGGAGACCAACTGGCGTACCATGATCTATATCTGACGTATGGGGCTGCATCACAAGTACCGTACTTTAATAGCATATGATGATGGCTTTGGTTCTATAATGTCAAGATCTCATAGACATTGTAATTAAGTCTAAAGTACCTCCTACATTTGTTCATAGCACCTTGAGAACCAAAAGTACATATATCTGTGAAATTGGTGAGTGAGTGATCCGAGGAGTGAGCCGAGCAAATTCCGAGTTATCTCAGAACCATACTCCGTACGGCCCAAGAATAGGTACGGACAGATTCGATGAAATGGAACTTATATCCCTCTTCGATAAGGTAGAGACATATTACCACTGAGGTTCTACAAGGATCTGCGGTGAACCCTGGACAACTTCGGATTGCGGCTACTGCATCTCAGCGACCAATAACGCATCAGCCAACTCAGGTAGCCTCGTGAGGAGAACCCAGCATGACATGCAATGCTCAATCGCAAGGCTCTTGGGGTCAGGCTGCAGTACGTAAGGCCCTGGTAGACCTCTTAAAATACCGCAGCCATCAAAGCCAGAGGCCTGCCATACTTATCTTGACAGAATCATTGTAGATTTTGAAAGTAAGCGACAATTCTCGTCCACAGTCGATAAGGCTAACAACGTATAAGCCCGCCATTGAGCCACTATGGTATCACCCAGCGTAGCTGAAGGTTATCTTCCTCCTCAGGCTCCTTCCAATGCAACTGTTCGGCGGATCAATTTTGTCAATACAGATCCGCCTATTCCCCAGTACAAGGATTATAATGCTGTCATTATCGACAACATCCTGACGGAAGAAGAATGCAAAGAGTTACTTCGCATTGCAGAAGCCTCGACTGTGAAGGATACGTCTGGCTCTCCCACATGGGATCGCGCGATGATCAACACCGGAGGCGGGGGGCAGGTACTTGCTACAGTCCAACGCAACTGTGGGAGAATCATTGTCGATACCCCTGAGTTGGCGGACAAGCTGCTTGCCCGCCTGATGCCATTTCTGAAGGAAGAAGGGGTTGATCACATCCGCAATCAGCCGCTTGTGACTGGTCTTGAAGGAGTAGGCAAGGCATACAGACTCTGCCGGCTGAATGAGAAACTGCGGTTCCTGAAATACGAGGGTGGTGAATACTTTCGCCCTCACTGGGATTCAAACTACATCACACCGGATGAGGAAGAGGAGTCCTTTTATACTCTGCATCTGTATCTGAATGGCGATGGAGAGCAGGATCTGGAGGAGTTGATGCAAGCGAGTAAGAAGGCGGAGACGGATCCTGAGGGCAGCCTCAATACGGATCCATCGGGCAAGCTCCTAGGAGGTGCAACATCCTTCAGTGTCGGCTATGGAGAGGAAGATGGCATAGTTCGAGTCTTTCCTAAGACAGGGTCAGCGTTGGTCTTCCAGCAGTACCACTTGCTTCATGCTGGGGACCTTGTATTTCGAGGAGTCAAATATACCTTGAGAACCGATATGATGTATCGCGAGGTAGCGATGATTTGAGGATTTCAACCGTCATTAGCATAGTTATCACAATATTCCGTCAGTTTGAAGATGACTTTCATTATGCGAACTATATATTATTGAGTCGGACGACGTCTTATCAGCCACGCTTGATCAGATGAACGATCTCGAAGAACATATAATCATTTGAAATATACATTCAACATGGCATTTGTAATTTTATTCCGAGCCATCTATGAATAATGAAGAATAATCGCAGGCCAAAAGCGACGCACTGCCGAATGTATAAACACCGGCGACTCTTTTCCCCGGGCCGAATTGTTGATTTCCAGCTTCAATCTCCGCAACCAAGTACTATCATATCAGCCATCGTCCGCTAGTGATCCACTGGACACTGAATAAAAGCCATGCGTCTGTTGGCTACCGGAAGGGCGCTACGTGCCAGCAGTGGCAGATGGTCCGTCGTGACCCCTCGCCAGAGCAGTCGCATATCGATCTCGCGTCTCGCCGAGCCTCTTACCGTCACCGTTACGAGGAGAAATCTGAGCTCGACAGCGAACCAGAAGACAGAAGAAAAGGCAGAGACGAAGCAAAAAACTACGGCTCGTTCATCGCCATTGCCTTCGCAGTCATTGACCATTGAAGGCCAGACCTACCATACAGACAAATGGACCAACACCCCGGACACAATCCTGTCCCACGTCGGACGTCGGCTATACCTCGACGAGAACCACCCTCTAGCAATCACTCGCAAACTGATCGAAAGCCAATTCCCCGGCCCGGTATACGGTAACTACTCGGAGAAGAATCCCGTCGTATCAGTTGCGCAGAACTTCGATGTCCTGGGCTTTGCGCCGGACCACCCGGGCCGCAGCCGGACGGACACATACTATATCAACGACAAGACCGTGCTCCGGACACACACCAGCGCCCACCAGCAGGCGTACTTCCAGCAGATCAACCGCAACGAGGCTACCCGTCCGGAGGAGGTAGGGTACACAGTGGTCGCGGACGTGTACCGGCGCGATGCGATCGACCGCAGCCACTACCCCGTCTTCCACCAGATGGAGGGCGCCATGCTGTGGAAGCGGCCGGCCACTGACCCGCTCAAGCACGCCTCGCGCACCGCCGCAGCTATCATGGAAGACGTGAATCGCATCCCCGCGCACGGTGTCCCCGTCGAAGACCCGAACCCGACCA